TAGGTAGGATAGATCTCCCCTCTGTATCCCTTTGCTTGCACAGGTTGCCCTGCTGAAGGCTTGAACTGCTGGTGCCTCGCATCTTGTGGGTTGCTCCCACAAGTGCAAAGTGAGCTATCACATCAGACATCCCGTGTTTTGCATGTCCTCTCCCCGGGCGCTAGTGACTGTGCGAGGTACAAGGAAGTGAAGAACCAGGTCCCCCGGGGCCCCCTTCCTTGAGTAAGGGCATACAGGTTCAAGACCTGTTTTCCCCGTCAAACTGATTACAGTCTGGACGTGGAGCTGCTCTGCACCTCTCTGCTTAGCTTGTGGTAGAAATGCTCCGCGGCACCGCGCAGCTTCCAAAAGCAGGATGAGTTTTCTGCAGCTGTTTCCAAAGTTGTGGTCTGCTTTCGAGCCCTCGATACTAATTCCTGTGTGTAGGCCAGAGGAAGCTGGAGCCAGGGTGGGCCTCTGGCTCTGCAGGGAATAAATGTGCTGGGCTCTTGCTCTGAACTGGTGTGGGGATCCTGGCTGGCTGCTGGACCGTGCCCGTCCTGCGGAACACCCTGCGCTTTGAAGCGAGTGCAGTTCACAGTGGAGTGCACACAAAAACCTTGGCATAAGACAAGAAGGTTCCTCTTATTTTGCAGGCTGGTTGCTGTAGAAACATGTAACAAAGGACAGCCTTCCTCTTCTGGTATAATTGTGCAGCCCCTTTTCTTTAGGTCTGACACCTGTCTGAATAAGAGTGATTAGAGCAGAATAATGTTCCCTTTCCTGGCTATTGAAGATGTGGTTCATGTACTAAAAGAAAACTGTACAAGTGAAGAAGTAAAATGTTTATGTTGTGTCTTTTTGTTTGCTACTACGTCTTAAGGTTTTGTAAAACTTGCATTTTTTTTTATTTTTTATTTTTTTTTCACAATGTGAAACTGAAGGTCAATAAATTATTTGAGATTTTCTCTCCATGGAAGTATGATTCTATGACTTGTTTAGAGTGTTGTCTCTTCTCCCTTCCCCCCCACCCCTTTTCTCTCCATCCCCCAATGTTTTGAATCCATTATAATGTTCTTTTCATGTCCTCTTAATAAAAGGACATCAACAACATGCAGTTTACTGCTTTGGTTTAAGCTTCTGCTTCAGTTGCATTTCCCCTCCCTTTGTTCTGTTCTACTGCTGTTACTATGATCTGTATCTCAAAGTTCAGCAGCTAAACCTCTGAGAGCCTCAAAACATTTAAGAACAGGAAATGCAAGTTTGCTGGTGCTTGCTGTACAGTTCAGCTAGTGCCTGATATGACTTGGAAGCGGTATTAAGGATCTCGAATCCTTCATAATTATTTGGCAGAAAAAAAAAATGCTGGCTGTGTATAAAACATTCCAGTTGTTTTATATAATATATACACAGAGCCAAACTCTTTGATCTATAAAGCTCATTTACATGTTATATATATATATATTTATGCTATTGATCTGTGTTGGCTTGGCATCTCTTTGGCCAAGAGGTGTCCCTTACCTTTGTCCTGATCTAAAATAACGTTATACAGCAGCACATACCCTGGAAGTTCAGTTCCTCAGGTCTGCTAAGTACTGGCCTGCTTTCCTGCCTAGAAGAGGATTTTTCTCCAGTACATTGTGTTGGTGTGAAGGGGCACGACCTTTTTTTTTTTTTTTTTTTTTTTTTTTTCCCACTACCTGCTCTCCAGTTCCTTTCCTTCTTTCCTTCCACAGCCCTAAAGAAGGAAAAGAAAAGGAGGCCTCCATTGGCCACAGTGCAGAGCAAGGAAGACACTGGTGCTACAGTTGCTGTCACCAGCCTGTATGGTCTGGATTCTGGCCTGAAAGTAAACTTGCAGTGCTTATTCTGCATATGTAGAGAAATGCAAAGAAGTAGCAGGAAGTATTGCTTTCTGCAGGAATTAACTTTTCTGAAATCTTCTATTTTATTTATATCAAAATTCCTGTCGCTACCCCTTGAAAGTCACAGAATTCTTCAGGGTGTTTTTCATCCCCCAGAAAGCCAGGATCTCAATATTGAGTGGCTTACAAGGCCTAAGCACTGCTCAGCTTCCCTGTGTTTGAGGTATCCACAATCAGTCTTGGCTGGGGGAGTGCCTTAGGGAATCTTGAGATATGAAGGGTATTGGAAGAAATCAGCCTTCTTACAGAATAGGGAAAGTTACATCAGTTACCGTGTTCATTGGAAGCTCTTTGCTGGACAAGAAACTGTGTTTTTTGGGTTTACATTTAGCCAGCTAAGTGGCACTGGGCATGAACACACTGATGTGCCCTAACTCGCTGGTGTCATTTTAGGGTGTGTGGGTCCTTACTGGGAAGCTCTTATACCACCGTGGATTCAACCTCTTTTTGCTTGGTTCTGAATGGGGAAGACTCACACTGGACATCCAATATGTACGGTGAGAATTTGAAACAGATAATTTGCATTTAAATTTGAAATATAGCTGATAACCTGGAAACTAGACACCTGCAGGGCACCAGCACTCTCCATGATGAGTGTGGGCAGTAAAAGTCTTCAATGAGCAGAAAGGTACCAGTTTGCCAGCATTGCAAAAGGCTCCATCTGGCATGCCTGGATGGTCAGCCCTGACCTGGGCAAGCCCCAAAGGCTCTGTCTGTGTTGGCTGTGCCTGGCATCAGTCTCTGGCCCTGGGCTGGATGGCGTGCAGCAGTCCACACCTCTTCTAGCAGCCCCTCGTGCTGGCAGTAGCTCAGGTGGCTGCTGGAGCACTCTGGCTCCTGAAATCTACTCAGAAAGCTCAGGAGTGCAAGTTTGCATGGGCCAGAAACATGCTGGGTATCATTCAAGCACTTAGCAGAGCAGGTGATGGTGTTCCAGTGCCTGGGAATGTTCCGTAGCATGGTTTAATACATTGCCGCAGTCATGGCCAGCGCATCTGGGTGGCATCATGTTAAAGGAAAAACGCATCCAGGAGAGGTGGAGACATGCTGCTCCTCCAAATGTTGTGGCATCAGAAGTGCCAGGAGGAGAGAATGCAGCCACCCACGAGTGTGTGAAGAACGGTTTGTGCTGCTGAAGGCAGGAGATGGGAGTACCCTGCGGGTTTTGTGGCACCAGACACAGTGTCTTCTCAGTCTGATTTCCAAAAATGAAAATGGAGTGAAAATCTGCCACCAAGAGACACCTTCAGTGTCCAAGCAAGAATATACATACGCGTCCTTATCCTCAACTAGCAAATACCAAATGAGACAAAGTTAAGGCTCTTTGCTTTAATGTGATGATAATATGGCCTATCATGAACAGGTATATGTGCATGAACCATACAGGAAGACACATAAATATCATAGAGAAATATACAGTTGATTCAAATCCTTACATTTGTACATAGGCACAGCATGAAACAAAATACAAGCTCCCCAGTGGGTAACATATGCACATACACAACAGGACCATCTGCCCTGTGTGTGCCTTTAATAATGGCCCATGAGTTTTGAAGTATTAGTACATGTTAGAAACTGTGCATTTGAATATAAGACTCACCCTGAAGACTGAAAAAGTGCATAAGGCAATGACTGAGAATTAAAATGTGTGATTAAATAAACAGCAAATCTCCTTTATAATCATTTTTAGGCTATGCTTCTGGCCAAGCAGTCCTCTGACAGTCTCAGAAAACCAAATTAGACAATGTGTCCTTTTTTGTGTGTGTCCATCCAGTTACCCTGGAAACCACCATCTTTATCTCTGAAGTGATGGGGAGTGGTGAAGGAGGCAAAGCCATAGGAATTTCTGCCAGGACCCCTCCTAATCCTACTCTCACGTTATCACACATTTAGTAAAATACTTCATGCTTGTGTAGATGAAATTAAGTTCATTTTATATTTTGTAATTACTGTGCCAAATTTTTCAGTCATTACCCATGCTCTGATCCAGAGGCAAAGTTTATGGTTGGTTGTGCTATTCAATTGCAACTGGACATTTATATAAGCCAGGGTCACAAATACAAACCAACACTTCACATATCTGCAGACATTTCAGATATTTCACAGCATTTCAGGCTGCTGTGTAAGACTGGCTGTGGCAACCTGCATTTGTATTCATGTTGCTAATCAACTGGCTTGTGAGCATTAAATTATTTACAGGGATGT